TATGATATATGTTTTATAACAAAAAAGAATGTAAATGACCAACATGTGTATTAATCTATAGCGCAGTTAACGTATCAAAATAACCAGCATATTTTCTATATTATGGATATGAACTTAGAATCATTAATTTGTACAGATAGCGGTATTGTTTCTGCCATCATATATATCCGTTCCTTGTCTATGAATTTAAAAACTATTTCGCAACGACAATATTGTAACAAGGAACAGTTCCATTGCTTCCAAAACATTTTATGGCTATCACTCGTCTGTAAAATGCGCCGAAGAAATAACTGAATTATGGCGTTTCGGTGATCCTGCCCATTTGTCTCGCTTTGTCGCAACAAAACTAACCATATCACCTAACCCACTCAATCAGTAGACCATTTAAGTTACCACAACCATAGAGACTTGATTCGCATCGAACGATGAATGAATGTATACTGTTTTATTGAATAATCAAAAGTTTAATTGAATGATTTTTCTGTGGCTGTTTTTGATTATTATGCATTGGTTTAACGTAGACATAGCCCGCTTGTTGATCGTCTATTGGTCATTTAATTGTATGTTATGGTACTCTCAAGCGTTATATGATGACATAGATCAGCATCGCTTTTCTTGACGTTGCAAAGAAAGGGGGAGGCGAGAGATGGGGGGGGGGAAGATCCGCTCAACTCAAATTAGGTCATTTCGGGACTAACATGCTTCAGCTTTACTTCAGTAAATTTGCCCCACCCCAACACCCACAAAGAATGGCTGGAAGCAAAACAATATCTACACAGCTTTGACATTTCTAGCTTAAAATATCCATATATCCACATTCAATTCAATTTTGTTACACGACTCATAAAATACTCATCTCTGTACAATTGAGATTAAAAACCATATCAAAACAATATGTGCTAACGTTGTCGAATTTAAAGAATCGCCCAGTAAAATAAATATTTGTCTATTTACAGGTAGACAAATTATTACGTGTTAATATAAATAAGCAATCACTGTTGACTGTTTCAGTTTATCTGTGGTTTCATTGTTTAATACATATTTTCTCATTGTTTAATACATATTTTCTTAAAACGATCAGGCGATCACGTGGCTAAGTAGGTAAGACGCTGGCTCGCTAGCCTGGAGGTTGGGTGTTCGATCCCTGCATTGGCCGAGAAAGTTCATTCAGATTTTCCGGCGTGGTTTCCCCTTGTCAGCAATGCAGGATGGAGGGCCTGACAAGCACAGCTGGCTAGTCGTTCGGATAGGACGTGGCGTTTACGTAAAAGATCCCTTGGCAGTTGGAATTCGATATAAGAGTAGGCCGTAGCGCCGCTGCCCGGGCAAAATTTCCTTCATAGCACACTGCATGGCGTATGCCCGTCTTCATTAGCCCAGGTTAGGAGCAGAACAGTAGGACGTTATCCATTTATAACGATCACTATTAACGTTTACTTTCTAGTCATGCCGGAAGTCGCGATGGTTAAGTCGCGATGGTTAAGTATGGCGCTAGCTCGTTGACCTACAGGTTCGATTCCGATGTTGGTCAAACCTCCATGGCGTTTTCCAGATCGGTTTGGCCCGTCAGTGATGCAAGACAGTTGGCCTGGAACAGTATCTTGTCGTTCGGATGAAACGAAAAACCGAGGTCCCATGTACACATTGACATGCATTAAAACGTAAAGTAACCCTGGCAGTTGTAATTCTAAATGAGACTATATCCGTCTTTATTAGCCTTGATTGAGTAGAAAAGTAGGACGTTAAACATAATTTAATGATTTAATGACGTCACTATTTTGTCTAAATAACAATCTAATGCTAGGTTCCCACTGTCACAATTCGTGCTACGATTGAAATCGTGGTTTTAATCGTAGATTAATCGTAGTTGTTATTTACAGGTTTCTGAGTCCAATTCTGCTACATAGATTTTTAGCTTGTAGCACATTCCGAAAGTCGGCACTGAGTCATAGCCATGTGGCATATTATCCAACGATGAGAATTCCTCATCCGAGATGACCACTGAGTTGATATCGATTTTCCTGGTAAGGAAAAGCCTACTCACTCAGTCTCCTGGCATGAAGGCAAATAGAGCGTAAAGGCAGCTTGGGGCTTGCGTAAATAAGCGTGGCAAGATATTGACACGCGCCCATCATGCTCTTGCCACGAACGCACCAAGCGCGTACTACGCCTAGTGCGCTCCAGTCAAGACGCTCATGGCCAGACTTTGGCTACGAGAACCGTGTTCCCACCATGCTCTCGGGGTTAGCCGTCAGACCGGGATACGTTCTCACCACACTTCCGTGCCGTGCCTACCAGGCGTAAGCCGCTCTCTCGCCACGCCTATAGAGACTGTTTCATGCTTACCCACCCCCCATTCACTTTCAAACCAGATAATATCCAAAAGTCAAGTAATAAAGAACATTTGTTAGTTTTCGTGGTGTTTCCTCTTTGGATGCTAGACTGGGGCTGATGGACGAGGCTCAGTGCCTTCTGTATAACTGCCCAAGCAGCGCGTGGAAGGAGTAGTTGAGAGGAATGCTGTTGCGTCGGAAAAACAAACCGGTAATATAGTTTATTTTTCCAACGCAACAGCATTCCTCTAAACGACCCCTTCCACACGCAGCTTGGGGGTCAGTGGATAATATAATCAATGCCGCGAAGGTTTCTTATAGCAAGTATTCCTGTATTATTATTTCATTTGCAGTCCTTGTTTTTTTTAATTTTTATACCGCTTTATATTTAAGATCACACATTTATTTTTTAATTAACTTTTCTCACATTTTAACCATCGTTAATTTTGTATCTATAACTGACAGACAACATAAACTCGATGGCGCTACCAAGTCTTAAAATCAGACTGGATTCCAAATACTACAACGCGATCGACCACGTAAATGTGCACTTTTCCTGGAACATCGATATTAGCTCATTGGACAACTCGGATAAGGAATTTCCATAGTTAGATAATGTACCTAGTGGGTAAACACGACACTGGCTTCCTGGAACATGCTACAAGCTTATACATAACAAAATTGCATTCAGAAACCATCATTTCACGCAGTTGTAAAGTGCATAAATCGAATCTATACGCCCCCGAAAACATATACTTAATCAAAATCAGCGCATCGTCCCATTTTCCAGCCACAAATGGCAGCCATATTAGCAATATGTTAAATGCGTGAACATGTGATCATTTTAAACAGTTGTAAAAGGCAGAAATGAAATTTGCGCCCCGAAAACATATATATTGACACCAACGAAGACTACTTAATCAATATCCTCACATCGTCCCATTTTCCCACGAAAAATGGTCGCCATCTTGGAAATATGCAAAATGGATGAACATGTGATCATTTTACACAGTTGTAACCGGTAGAAGAAATGGAATCAGTACCCCTGAAAAAATATATATTGACACCAAACACTACTATTTAATCAAAATCAGCCAAAAATGGTCACCATCTTGGAATTGTGTTAATTAAGTGGTGGAAAAAAAATCTGAAATATAGTTACGTCCCCTGACAATACTAATACATTGCCAAATCACAGTTGATACGTCGATTACATCTTAAGGTAAAAATAAAAAAAAAGAGTTGGAATATTATTGCAAAATGGCTACCCTCAAATAATGGCCTTCTATACTATGAAGAGATACTCGGACAAAATGTCAACCTTGTTTTTTTTTGTCATCAAACATCAAAACCTTCAAAATAACGCTTATTCCATGAATTATGTAACAAACCCAATCGGACTAAACATACATGGTTTAAATACGTTTGTACATTAGATACATTAGAGACTTTTGGCAAGCGGAATTTATCCCATCCATATGGAAAAGTGATGCGTTGCGTTAATAGAGACTTTTGGTAAATCCCTGGTCCGTATCGCGTATCCGTATAGAATTTGCGTGTAACGTCATCAATCTGGGTGTATTTCTCATACGTGTTATGGCACAAGGATACGGCAGCAAGTATCTACAGATTTCATACGGAAAAGGCCCGTATGAAATTGTCGTGTCTTTTTAGCGTGATTTTTGCTACTTTTAGACGCTGAAATGTTGTATCATAGTGTTTTTATGAATCTATATGTATCCAAAAACACGAAGGTGTATATTTGATGTGATTTTAACCATGATAAATACCGTAATTTAATCATTATTTTTGATGGGTTTTTCTCAGAATTTTCATACTTTTCCTGTCTGTCTGTCTGCATGCTGGTTGATCTGCGTGCTAAAGTTAGGGGGGGGGGGAACCTTCCAAATCTGTAAATGATTTTATTCTATCGCATTAGTGAAACCAAAACTTTCTGTCGAGTCTAAGTCTTTTTAATAAGATTCGATCGACCAATTTCTTTTTTAATAGCTCAACGACCTTCGTGCTACATCAATCCCTCCGGGAAATTGTAGACTAGGCACTTGGCTATATAGTACTGATGGTATCTTAGAAGATACATGTCATTATGCTGTAATAGAACTAAGCACAGCTCTGCGACGCGAAAATCTGGCAAATCTCTAAAACTACATTGACGCAACGTATACGATACGGATACGTGATACGGATAGGGAAAAGTCAGCTTACCAAAAGTCTCTATTATTTGTGTGGTAGCGTGTCGCTGTGTCCCCTTGCTTTCTTTTCCGATTTAAAATTGTGTGTGACTCCGATTGACCTTTTCCCCCTTGTCAGTGTTGCAGGACGGAGGGCCTGACAAGGACAGCTGTCTAGTCATTCGGATGAGACGAAAAACCGAGGTCCCGTGTACACATTGGCGTGCACGTAAAAGATCCCTTGACAGTTGGAATTCGATATAAGAGTAGGCCGTAGTGCCGCTGTCCGGGCAAAATTTCCCTCATAGCACACTGTATGGTGTATGCCCGTCTTCATTAGCCCAGTTCGGAGCAAAACAGTAGGACGTTAAACCCCATTTCATTTCATTTCATTTCATTTCCGATTGACCTTTCATATTGTGAAGTAGAGCATGGAGGACATGTAATTTTACCAAAACACAGATAAATGCATATACTAATTTTTAAAATTTATTCGAATAAACGTTTCTAAATACATCAACTAAAAATATTGTATAAACAAAGCAATAAGAAGACAAAGGCACTACCAATGCAGAAAGACATAGCGTAAACATGGTGATAAAATGAAGACCTACAAAGGCTGGTGATTATATAGAACCACTAAGGCAGGAAGGTATAGTGCAAATAGACTAATTAAATGAATATTTTCACGTAATAGGAGATTAAAGCACCACTAAGGCAGGAAGGTATAGTGTAAACAGGCTAATTAGAATGAAAAACTACATGTGATAGGAGATTAAAGCATGACTAAGGGCTGAAGACATAGCGTAAACATTCTGATTAGATGAAAAACTAGTGTAATCTGACTAATTAGATGAATAACTTCTAAAAGCAAGGTTGTTTTTTCTTGTCATATAATTTCTCGGACTTCTTAATTTAACAATGGCAAAGTTGTTTGTGAATTGGGGAAGCGACCGCAGTAGACATCCAGTAAGTAGTGTTAGAACGTTGCCATATCTGTAATATAAAGTTATTTCGATATCACAAAATATAAATACAGAAATATCCCTGATAAAAATGATCGAATTCGTTGGTTGAATAGCCAAATGCGAGCATTGTAGGTTTAAACCATGTTGTGTGCTATTCATGGTTTCGATCTCTGAGTTGTATATAACAAGTCCTATGGTCGCAGATCGGGGTGCTCCGGATTTCTCCCAATTTAAAATACGTCTGGGCAGAAGCGAGTAATTGAAATACAAATATTATTTTAGTGTTAGTCCCAAAATGACCTGGTAATTGCTATACCGAGGTTAAACCCCATTTGTCTCACTACAACTCTGAAATTGGAGAGAGAGAAATGTGGTTTAACGTCGATCCACTCGACACAAACTAGGTCATTTCGGGACTAACATGGTGCAATTTTATTTCAATAATTCGCTTGCGCATGGGGGTCTTTAGCAGTTGGGGGAAACCGGAGGACCCAGAGAAAACCCACGAAGTTGGACAGGCGACTCTACTCCTTGCCAAGTACAATCGGGGAATCGAAACGACGCAATGACAGACCGCGCTACGTGTACGCGCTAACCATTCGGGCATCCAGCCCCCCGCTCTCAAATTGGACAATAGTAGACGTTAGCATCTAAGGGCATTGGGAAGCCACGATAGCGCTAGTGAACTAAATAGCGCTAGTGGGTTCGATCCCGATGGCGGCCTAGGACGCTCCCCAGAATTTTCCATCATGGTTGTTATCCTTGTCAGGCCCTCCGTCCTGCAGCACTGACGGCGTGGTTCCACCTTGTCAGTGATGCAGGACGGAGGATCTGACAAGGACAGTTGTCTAGTCGTTTGGATGGGACGAAAAACCGAGGTCGCGTCTTCACATTGACATGCACGTAAAAGACCCCTAGACAGTTGGAATTCGATGTAAGAGTATGCCGTTGTCCTGGCAAAATGTCCCTCATAGTACACTGTATGGTGTATGTCCGTCTTCATTAGCCCAGTTCGGAGCAGAACAATAGGACGTTAAACTCCATTTCATTTCATTTCATTTTTTTTGTCCCATGTCAGTTGTGGTGGAGGAGGGGGGTGATTGGTGGTGGCAAGGGACCGTGTCTAGTTGTTGGGACGGGACAAAATAGAGGACCCGTGTACTCATTTGTATGCACGTAAAAGAACCATTGTCAGTTGGAATTCGGTCATGGTCATGGTCATCATCAATACTTTAAACAGAAACACGCTTACCATTTAGTTGTTTGGCACGAAAATTTGATCACTGAAGACCACACCATTGTTACTGACAGACACACCATATGAATAGCTTACTCCAGGTAGAATGCTTCTTGTGTATACAACCTCAGGACAGACTACTTCGTCATCGCTTACATATATACCAGAAACTGTTCTCTCGGCAACAAGACTCTTTGTTCCAATTACTGTCTGAATGGAAAATGAAGGGCTATATAATACATACATTACCGTGATTATGTTACCAATTGGTATTATGCTTGGTGGATATTAGTGTTCGGACATTAACAGCATTTATCAGCGTCCTGTCATTTAGAGGGGCATGTGTTGATTTTAAGCTAAATTTCAAAGTTGGAGGCCATCAATCCGCCGAAGCTTCCCCTTATCAGTTGAGTTTGGCGTGGAACGGGGCAAGGAACGGTGTCTATAGTCGTTCACATTGGACGAAAAATTAAAGTAACTAGTGTACATAGGCTTGTACACAATAATAGTAAGTCAGCACGCTACAGCTGTAGCAGATACGACGATAACACTCCATTTCATTTCATTGAAGGCCATCAACATTTCCTTGAAGAGTCGATTACCGAGTCAAATGAACAAGGCCTACATGTATCGGCTCTGTCGAGGCTTTATCTAATCAAAAATAAGACATGCAGTACCTACTGGTTTGTCACTTTATCTGACCGACTTCACAATTATTTTGAAAAAAAAAGGTGAAAGTGCATTTGGCATTTTTATCATCCGAGAAACATTGATTCAGACGCTCAGTGACCAATAACTTTACACCTTTTATAGCGCACGAAAAAGGTTAAACCAGCCGATTTACATGGTTGAAATTTATTCCGCGAATAAACTGAATAACTTACTTTTTCAATTCTTATTTTGCAAACAAGTGTAACTGACTCAACAAATTCGCCACCAAAAAGGTGAACCCGATTACAGGTGCCAATTGTGGAATTACATTCGTTAGCACTTGACTCGTAAACTATCGTCGGTGGCGTATTGAGCGATACTGAACAATCCAGACTTCCATATCCTTTATCACAGGTACACACTCCTAAAAAATGAAATAAAATCTTGAATACTGTTGTGACTATTAATAATCTAAAAGGAAAATATCTGTGCAGCTTACGTGTGGCCAGGTCGTCTAACGCGTCTAATAGTCCAGAAACTAATAGTCTGGGAGCAGCACTTCAAAGCACTCCCATGGGGCTAAACAATTAGGACATAGGTTAAATAGCTAAAACTTTCTGGAAGGAATGATATCCATGACTGAATTGAATATTTCACAAATCTAACCACAATTTTCGGGACTGAATTGAATATTTCACAAATCTAACCACAATTTTCGGGACTTCCCCGAAGTCAGACAACACCCAACATCTTATCACGAAGCAAATAATATGGTCATCAGTAACATGGCTGAACCTCAACAGAAACAGGGATCCATAATAATGTTGGAACATTCCTCAAGACAGATCGTCCTAAATTCCACATGACCCCGCCCTAAAAATGTGACTTATCAATGAGAATATCAATTACATGTCTGAAACTTAACATAAATATGGACCAGTTCATGGACAATGTATTTTTGGAAAATGTAACCATAATTGTTGGGGCTTTTATGAAGTCAAGCTATGTGAAATCCTCAAATGAAAAATTGTATAAGGTATTGCAGAAAGAGTGTCATACCATGCCGAACCAAATTCACAACACACAACACCAGTTGTAGTTAAATGAATAGAACGAGGACTGGCTTAAAATGTCTAAGTCTATCTTTGAAAGACCTGTACAGAGTCGATGGTTTCCATTTATTTATCGACAAAAAATTTATTTGCTAACGATGTTGCAAGGTTTGGCTACCGACCAGGAAGACATTTTCTTTAGCCACCATAAATAAGTCATTCGCAGCTGACATAAGTCATTCAAGATAATCAATCAGCCTTGGAAAACTAAAAGCCTCAAGCCGTCATCCTTCCAACAGAAGGAACCGACTTGGTTTTTTTGGGGTGCTAACGACTCTGAATGCTTCTATTTTTTAGACTGACTTTTGGATACTGGCTGAAAGTGATGAATCCAGGGCTCATCCATGGTTAGAAATAGTATCATGATTTGCTTCATAACGGTACGGATTGGCACGGCACATCTTTTTCTGATCCACAGTTAAAAGTTTTTGTCATTCCTAAGTCGTTGGGTATAATGTGCTCAACCCTCTCATGAGAGATGCCCAAAATACTGACAATATGTCGAATGGTCAATCGTCGATCAACCGTCACAATGTCGTGCATCCAGGTAATGTTTTCGTGAATGGTTGCGTTCCTGGACGCGAGTCATCGTCAAGGGTCTCTCTGCCACCCCTAAATTCCTCAGCCGACTTCTTTACTATGGCAAAGGAAGGGGCATCATCCCCATAAGTGGAGACCATGTCGGCATGTATCTGTGTTGGGGTTAGTCCTTTCACTTGCTGGTATGTACTTGATTACTGTTCTACAGCCCTCCTTCCATCAAATGCTTTAAGAGCCGCTATCGTAGTGCAAACGTTAGCATAAAAATGTAGTTTTATTTTGCCATCTTTAATTTCAATTTCAATTTGAATATGTGCTTGTGAAGCATTAATAATAACCCGGTGTCCTTACATGACATCCTTATCTATATGGTTCAGTAGCACATGCAGCTTCACCACGCCAGGATGACGGGTTCCAGACTGAGTCGCCTCCCTTCTCTGAACAAGGGACAACTGTTGTTACTCATTGTGTAATGCCTCTTCTAGTTCTTACAATTTATGTACAGGGGGACGTACTGCCTATTTCTTTCCGACGAATATTACCGAATACAGCCACCCTGCGCTTCTGACAATCTACTTTGCAATATATATTCGATATTGAAAAAATGGGTTTTAAGGACCCTCTAAATACACCATATTTAGGCTGGTGTGCATACCCATCTTCCGTGCCAGATCATTACAGCCACTCATGAATGATCAGTCATCTGTATTGAAGATCATTAGTATTACTTACAATTGAAATTAATTAAGACACAATTTGCTTCATTTTGTCAAACTCTTTTTAGGTGCATATATACCACACGGTAGTTCTGAAATGCTACCGGACAGAGGGTATGTCGTTAGCAATGGTGGGCTCGCAAAAATACATATTTGTGACTGACAGAAATTACGAATATATACACGAATGCCAGTTAAAAGTTTGAATTAAAAATGTGTAATATGGACTTATTATTGCAACAACAATGCAGTGGCCGAATAACGGAAAAGATCAGTGAGCTCATCTTCATGCATAAAGGGAAAAATCTTAGCAATTTCTTGTCGCAGGGGGAATACAACGGATAATACCTCTGCGAATAGCGAAAGGATTCATGTTTAAACGAATTAATATTTCGTTATAACGAATTAGTATTTCGTTTGATTGAAATAATTATATAGGAGTGGAATCGTGCACGAAAAAAATTATATAAGAGTGGAATCGTGCCCTTAAGGGGCTCCGTACTAACCTCAACAGTACATGTAATTACTAATAGTTATTAGAAATTTGTATATGGTCTCACCTCCATTACAGTTGCCGTGTTGGGAACATTCTAAAGGACAGGCTACTTGTTTAATTTCATCAAAGAAGGATGGTATGGCGATTGTCGGAGGAGGCAAAGCCGTCTCGCGAATAGAACTTCTTCCCCATGCAAAATTTTTCACCGGCTTAGCTGTAGATGGTCCCGGAGGCAGTGTTACGGTTCTTTGTCTTTGATATATGGGATTGTAACTTATTTCATGAAAACATGACGTTTTTACAGTTTCTACCGCAACCTTAGCAAAACTATCGTCTCCTATCAACTGAAAGTAAAAAAATTCATGATCAATTATGTAAAGGATTATTATGAATGTTTGCATTTGCTATATATGACCAATCTTTTCGAGTCTTTATGCTTGGGTTAGATTTAAAGGGCCAATCCCGATAATATTTTGGAGAATAAAACAGCTTAATTTTGTGTTAAGAGCCGTTAAAATCCTCTACCTTAGGGCCGAGCAACTAACTCAATATACATAATACATTTTCAAACAACTTAAACCTGCCAGTCTTCATCTGGAAATGGAGACTGGTGTCCCAAGCTGTATTATACAGTGTCTGGATAAAAACAGATTATTACTTTATAAAAATAATGTGTAGGTGAAATTTACCTTTCGTCATCAAGTAAGTACAGCACATGGGTCATTCATTGTATAGACCTCTAAAGGAACGGGAATCGTTTATCAGGTCACCCAACAAAAAAATTGACCCGAAATCTTAAAAGGGTTACGTGTCCGGATAAGCAGTTTTGACGTTCACGCCCAAACGACTTAATATTTTGAGCTGAAACTTTGCGACAAGGTAAATACACCATTCCTCTATATTTTGGCGCTTAAATATTATACGTACTCAGACTTTTATTTTTGAGACAGGGTTCAAATCGGGATAGTCCCTTTAAAGGACAATGTTGGTGTATAACATACGTAATAAAACAGTATAAACACTTTCTAAACACTTAAAACAGGAATCTTTGCTACGGTAGATGGGTAACGAAATTTGCAGAAACGGAAAGTGACGCCAAACAAAAAGGAAAAAATGATTTATCGTTATATGTAACTGACTGAAGTAGTGAACGGTAACAGATACACGGCATCATTCAGCTCACTGATAATTCCTTTGAAGTCGAAAAGTTGTTATTATCAGATTGTGAGATGATATCTGTTCGAATCTACAAGATTTGGCTGTCAGGAGGTAAGAGAACGCGAGAGAAATAGAAAAGTCCGTTCATGACCTTGTTTTTATTAATATGCTTCTTACACATTATAAGCGATAATTATAGTTTATTTCAGAAGTTATATTATCATTTTTTTACAAATCGCAATTTGGTATGCGCTCTAAAACGGCAATTTATCAAATACTGCATTCATATTAATTCTCGCCCGACCAAATAAAAGTTCATGCAATAAAGGTTCGATGAAAAATTATGTCTTTTTGAGTAAAAAATGTGAAATTCGCTTGTATCCAATAACTGCAGACCAGACATATGTATTTTTTTATCGCCCAAAGGGGATCACGTAGCTAAGTGGGTAAGACGCTGTCCGTGATCTAAGTATGTCCATTCCAAATTAAGAATAATAATCGGTGGTCTTGTTCCACATTGTATTGTTAGAGTTATCTGCAGTTGTTTTTGTATTACCTCAAATAATGGTTGAATAATAAAGTCAAGATTGCTTGAAAGAGAGCCGTGTCAAAATGAACCATCGCATCCAAAGTCCAATACCCTACAGACGCTGGCTCGCTAGCCTGAAGGTCGGGTGGTCGATCCCTGCATTGGCCGAGAAAGTTCACCCAGATTTTCCGGCGTGGTTTCCCCTTGTCAGTGATGCAGGATGGAGGGCCTGACAAGGACAGCTGTCTAGTTGTTCGGATGGGACGAAAACCGAGGTCCCGTGTACACATTGGCGTGCACGTAAAAGATCCCTTGGCAGTTGGAATTCGATATAAGAGTAGGCCGTAGCGCCGCTGATCGGGCAAAATTTCCCTCATAGCACACTGTATGGTGTATGCCCAGGTTAGGAGCAGAACAGTAGGACGTTAAACCCTATTTCATTTTATCGCCAAATAATACATTCTACAGTAGATATCGCATGTTTGATCAATTTTATAATCCACGAAATTAAATTAAACAGGAACCACTTTTTTTATTTAAAAAGAACAGATCATTTTTTATTTAATTGACCTTGATGGAAACAATGGGTCAATAGAAATGACTTTGCAATGGTTGAATTGATGTCAGAAAATGATGTATCACTACGCCGTATTGTGATCAGGTTCAGTAAAAGTGAAATCTATAGCAAAGAATTATATTTATTTATATGTGCATGTAAGAGAGGATTGGGTGATAAATAAATCTCGTTTTTCTTACTTTATCGACTTGTGTTGATATTTTTTTTATATCAAAAAAGACGAGTAGATTTTATATATATATATATACAAAAGTAAAACAGATCCTGTTAGGTATGCAAACTCCTTGTGATGTGCTTTGTTAAGAGTAAGTGTATCCTACCCTGTTCACAGCGCTGACCACTATAATTAGACGTTGATTTCAGAAGTCGGACCTACTACCCATCCGGCATACTAAATTTTCTCTGAAAGATCACATCCACGAAAAAGATAATTTCAAAGGGGCTTAAAATGTGCAAATCAGGCCTGAAATTCAATCTGGATAGGCTACAAGTTTGCAATTATTATACGCCTACATTTTCATGTGGATTTGTATTGTTGTTGCCACTGTCCATCCTTGTGCCCGTGTGTCCTTTCATATTGTGTTTGTGGACACTCTACAGGTCACAATTTTTATCCGATTTTAACGAAACTTGAAATATAAATATAGGTGTATCTCCCAAAGACCTCGTTGTTTTTCGAAATTAACACAACTTTTGTCCCCTTTAGAAAACCGTTTAGACATATCACCATCACCGTTGGTTAAGTTCGAATTTCGTGAAAATCGGACCGAAACTGACGGACAAAATGGCCGCTCCTTGTACACATGTAATAGCAAGGTTGTAGACCCTATAGAAGTCTCAATTGTTTTCCGATTTTGATGAAACTTGAAATGTATGTTTAAAACCCAAAGATCTCGGTTCGGAACGTAACTGTGAGGATTATGTCCCCTGATCGTTTCAAAAATCACGTTTTTAGCTTGTAGACTCTCTATAAGTCACAATTTTTATCTGATTTAAAAAAATCTGTTACACACTAATGGTGGTTGAGTTCGAATCTCGTGAAAATCGGACTGAAACTGATTGAATAAATGGCTGCTACTTAAACGCAAATATTGCAAAAGTATGTAATACCAAGGTTGTGGACCCACTAGATGTCAGAGCTTTTATCCGATCTTGATGAAACTTAAAATATACGTGTGTATCCAAACGATCTCTGTTCCGTTTGATATTCGTGCATATCGGACCATATCTTCCTGGATTATAACATTTTTTTAGCATGTTATCTGTCAATCTCTTGCAAAATGTGGGAAAGCTGTTTTTTGTTGCAAAGGAATAAAATCGCGTTCATACAGTTGCCCGCAGAATTACTATTTGTTATCTACGTGGTGTAACATATGTAGAATTATAATACACGTGACTTTCTGTTATGAAATAATATCTTCAAACAGATGTCCTCTCACAGTCTTATATAACAACTTTTCGTTTTGAAAGGAATTCTCAGTGAGCTAAATGATGCCGTGTAACGGTTATCGGTCTCTACTTAAGTCAGTTATTCATAAGGATAACCCGTGTTTTCCATTTTTTGCGTCTCTTCCGGTTTCTACAACTCTTCTTTACGCATCTGCCGTAGCACAGATCTATGTGTATAACCAGTTCTATCATATTTAATATTGGCTGACACCAACATTGTCCTTTAATACGAAAACAGAGAAGAGTGTCGCGCACATGATATCATATGCTTTCACTTTAATGAACACGCTCTAATATAGGATATTTGTCAAGTGGCAAGTCCAACTGCACTGGTTACTCGATGTAAACAGATGTTTATAATTATAAACGTATTTGTCAATTTAAAAGAGCTAACGAAACTTGTAAACCGACCAAGATGGTTTTTTTAGGACACATGAAGGGCATATTGAAGGGGTATTAGCTAAGATTAGATACAGAACTGACAGTTCGCGCTTTAATAGTTAAAAAATAAATAGTGAAGACAGAATAGCTTCACGCTAAACCGATATTAGAGATCCAATTTGGGGCTAGTCTCGAACGTCATTACTATGATAATAAACAAAAGCTTAATTATCCATTTTTACGTTAAATAATAATAGTAACAACTAGATCTGCCAGGCAAATATGAAAGATTTCATATTCGTCGTTTACATCCTGTCACATGTCATGGATTTTATCAATAATTTTAAAATGAAACAAAGTATAATTAAAATCCATGAAAGATATAAGGAGAAACATTTCAATCAGGGTGAAATTCATGGACTTATTTTAGTAATTATTTCACGAATACAGTTCGAGTTATAAATGGGCAATTATTACTTTAATTTATGTCTGCTCTTTTTCTGCATTTTTGGTCTAGAATCGGAGAAAAGGGATCAAATTTGCAATTTCAAAACAGTTTTGTTTAATACTGATGATATTATAGTGGAGGGATAGGGAGTGTACAGCGTCTTTCTGCAAAGCAATCATTTTGCCAGAATTGATATTTTGACCCCAGCCAAATACGGTCCCAATGTGCCTATGAAGATATGAACCAGCGGAATGTTGACCAAAAAGCTATACCCTGTTGTGTTACAGCAATTTAACATTGAGGTCAATGGGCAAATAATTGCTAGCCTGATACCTCTTATCGCTGGAATTGGATTGATCTCCGTAATTGTTCTTATATGTCTTATAAATCATCAGGACTAAGGAAAGTGTCTCGTAAACAACTTTTTCGGCACGCAAATTCGAAAATTTTAAAAGCTATCTATTATGTCCTAAGCCAATTAATTCTAAAATAGAGTACTAATTGACGAAATATGTCTGTATACGTTAAATATTTCCACTACATGACCCAGTTTGTGTCGAATGAACGTTAAACCCCATTTCTCTTGTTTAAGGACGCTACGGCCAGAATTTTACGTAACGGAATCTGGCAAGTTTGTCTTAGTCAAATGAATTATTGTACAGATTGCAAAATACATATGATTAGAAAACAATTCTAACAGTTCCCGGCGCGAAATTCCATTTGGGATTCAATACTTTGCCCTACCTTAATGTCTCGAACACAGTTGTTAAGCGCCTCTTGTGTTCCGGCAGCTCCACTTTTCTCACAGATCTGAACAGTTTTTGACTTATTTAATAAACCTTTACAGTGATCTGTAGCCAATTTCTCTGTCCATCCATTTCTCCAAGTAGGATTAGTAGTCTGAAAAATAGGCGTATGTGTTAAAATAACGGCACGACAAGGCCACCAACCCGGGTGGATTGATTGAATTTAAATGTGCCTTTATTTAAGTATTGATCCTGTCTTTAAATGAGCAGTAAGTGCACAACACTGTTTAATTTTTTCTAAAACGTTTGTAGAATATCTGTAAAGGGTCTCAGCGATACTTTCGAAAAATGGTACACATTTTAGTGTACACTAAATTGACTAATTACTTTAGAGTGGATACCTTAACCTTCACTCAACATTTAACATGCATCTAGTCACTGATTCAGTAGTTACCTATATTTGAGGTACGTCTGACTAATGTAGTGTGTTAATTTATATCACATTTTGTATAACATATGTTTAACTCTTGTCGTGTATATGTTCAAATATTTATAGTTTCATTATTATTAAGATCGTAAGTAGGAGAGGGATACTTGGTTTAAACAGAGACGAAATACGGACTATTACATTCATTTGTTAAAAAACCCAGTTCGACGTTTCTATAATTTTTACACTACGTTCATTGCATGTGAGTTTATATTTATGTCGCCTAATAATGCATTAAGTATATATATATTTATTTTATAAATAATATTATGACGTTAAATAGTTTACTACACGTATACACATAATATATTACTTTGCATTCAGTTAGTAATTAATGTATACTATTCAAAAAAAGTAGGGTATATTTGATTTTTAAGTGTTATTAAAGTCACCTAATGAAACTGACGAAGAAACAAATGACAAAATGAAATGAAGTTCACATTCCTCGATTTATTCCAAATGATCGTTAGACTAAGTAAGGCACAGACTGACCATTATAAGGGTAAAATGATACCCGGGGTCAAACAGCAAAGTTACCACAGCATCACAACCAAGTCAGTAACGGGTAAATCCTCCTCTGTTTGCCAAACAAGCATTGATCCGACGTGGCATACTCCTAATGAGACGTCTAAGGTCATTTTGGTCCAGATTGTCCGATTCCTGTTGCAACGCAGCAGCAAGTTCTTGGACATTGGCAGGACGTTGTTGACGTTGACGTAACCTCTGTCCAAGCATGTCCCAGACATGCTCGATGGGGGAGAGGTCGGGACTCAGTGATGGCCAAGGTAATGTGGTGATGTTCTGTTGTTGGAGGTAACCTGTAACGATCCTGGCCCTGTGACATCTTGCGTTGTCATCCTGGAAGATGAAACGGCGGCCATGACGTCGTGCGAACGGCACAACATGGACTGCCAAGATGTTGTCCCGGTAGTACTGGTCTGTAACACGCCCTGCAACAACATGTAAAGCCGTTCTTCCAGCAACAGTGATGCCTCCCCACACCATAACAGAACCACCCTCAAATCGATCATGTCTGATGACGTTAACGTCTTGGAAGCGCTCGTTTCGACGACGCCACACCCTCCTACGTCTGTCCAAAAAATCAACAGTGAACCTTGACTCATCTGAAAACATCACATTGCTCCAGCGTCGATTATCCCAGTGTTGACGATCCCTACACCAACGACGTCTTGCCTGAATGTGATGATCTCTCAAACAAGGGATCACGCGAGGACGTCGGGCGCGAAGGTGACCCCTATACAGTCGATTCCGAATCGTCTGGCCACTCACTCTCACACCAGTGTCTGTTTGAAGACGAGCGCTGATCTGATTTGCTGTGATGACACGATTTCTCAAGGCCAAGGTACGGATAAATCGATCCTGGGCTTGAGTTGTCGCCCTTGGTCGACCTGAGCGTGGTCTGTCCTGTACAGATTGTGTATCACGGTATCTGGACCATAGCCTGCTTATGACAGACTGAGAAACATTCATCGTCCGCGCCACAACCGCCTGTGTTGTGCCGATCTGTAGCATGCCAAGGGCACGTAACCTTTCATTTTGGGTAAGCCGACGCATATCAAAATTTGTTTTCTGGTCACTAAAACAATTAAACTGATGTTTCCACCCTGGAATGCAATGCCACAATGACTGTAACATTCAAAGTCAGAGTCGTGCAAATCTTGGGTTGGACCCCCATGATGATCCCAAGCATCACCTGCATTCCATGCGGTAGCTATTGGTGCGTTTGGGCGTCACATGTAACTGGAAATGTTTCTTCTGTTAGGTTCTATAGTGACTTTTTTCGTAGTCATTAGCATATTTTAGTATTATGCCCCCAAAATCAAATATCCCCTACTTTTTTTGAATAGTATATGTTTCTTTTTGCATCTGTTCGAAACGAGCAATACATAAAGTGTCACGAGATCAGAGAAAGCGAGACAAATAGGATTTAATATTTTACTTATCTACATTGACTTTGCTAATGGAGACGACCATATACCATGTAGTATGCTATGAGTGAAATTTTGCCCTGTGCTACGACCTACTCTTATTTGCAATCCCAAAGCTCAGACAAGCCAACGTTCACAAGAGTCACAGGGTTTTCGTCCTTCGCCATTGACAGGGGAAAATCGCCATTGACAAGGGAAAATTACGTCGGAAAGTACAGATGAATTTTCTAGGCCAAAACAGTGATCGAAACCAGGAGTTCGTTAGTGAGTCAGGTCCATGCTATAAGAAAAAAAATCCGTGAGGAATGCATTATTCTATTTTAATGGATTAAAGCTAGTGTTCTTGGTTCATTAGTCGAATATTCTCATATTGTTTGATAACAACATCAGACAACATGACATGTTATTACATCATTGTGTCCAAGCTTGATACAAATTATTGTAGACATCAATCGTTGTTGTTTACAATTGGCTAACACCTATAAACCAATAGATTGAGAAGAGCCACGCGAAGCGTGGAAATACGCATACACACCAACCATGTCTCGACAACCGCTTATCCGAAAGGAAAACTTGAATATTGACCAAACATGATAAGGAGAGTATCCTTCAGGAACTCCGACCTTTATCGTGTTCACAAGCTTGAAATAAATCTGTTAAATACTCTATCATGTAGAATTTAGCACAGGGTACGTCCTCTCATGAATGAATGATTCATACCAAAATTTGTTCACAACGTAGTCACTATCATGTTGACAAGGCTTTTGCCAAGGTGACAGCTCCGGAATGGTAAGTCGCGGAAGGCTGATGCCCCCCCCCCCCTGGATACAATGCTTCTGTTTTTGGCAAGGGGGTGGTGGTGGTGGTGGTGGTGGGGGGTAACACTAGATATCAATTCCGATAGGGTTCGTCCTGTAATGGCGACAATGCTTCACATCAAATTTGAAAACAATATAGCAAAATGGGAATGGTGATTGGATGTCACGCTGGGTATCAGTAGGGCTCGCCCCCCCCCCACCCATGAGTCCATGACCCCAATGCTTCCCACCAAGTTTAAAAGGAATCAATTAAAAACCATAATGTTTAACATTAAATTTGAAAAGAATCATTTAAAAAAACGGTAGCGTTTACAAGGCTTTTTGAAAAGGATGAATAACTCCGCGTTCATAAGGTTTTTATTAAAGGGGGCATAACTGGTGCGGAAGGTCGTGGTGGAACTCGGAATATCGATTATGTTTGATACACCAAGTATGGAAAGAATATGTTATAAACTGTATCCTATATTTCGGCACAAGTGGGCCGGGGGATATTGAGGGTGGTGGTGGGGGGTAACGCCGGAATCTCATGACCGCAATTCTTCAAACCGCATTTGAAAGATAGCCACGCAAAGCGTGGAATACATCCGCCCACCAGCTTTGTCCCATCTGCAGAATATTCGAAAATTGTCCAGCTAATTTTAAAGAAATCCTTTAAAAACTAAAGTATCTATGGCGTTCACAAGGGTTTTGGCAAAGTGGTAATAACTCCGGAATGGATAGTCGCAGAACATTGAATATTACTCAGGTTTATCCTCTAGTGGAAGCGTCATCGAACGATGAAAGTCAATAGGCTTAATCCACTCATGTTTCCCACCAAATTTGAAAAAAAACCCACCTGAAGCCTCTATCACGTTCACAGGGTTTTCAGATAAGGGGTGACAACCCCGTTTCAACCCTGTAGGATCTATCGTGTTCACAAAGGTTTCGGTATGGGGACGGAGTGGGGGGGGGGCTCCGGAATAGAAATCCCTACCATACTGAAAACCTCTCATGATCTCGAGAGAGAGAGAGTGAGAGAGAGAGAGAGATGGCGTTTAACGTCCACTCGACAAAAAACATGGGCCATTTCGGGATTAACATATGGTTCAATTTTTTTTCAATTATTCTCTAGCGCGCAGGGTTCTTTAGCTTCCCATCGAATTTGGAAACAATCTGTATTAAAACTGTATCATCTATTGCGACAAATAATGTTTTTGGAAAAGGGGCATAACCCCAGTATGACAGGTCGCAGAACGTTGAAGGTCGACAGGTTTCGCGAAAAGTGACAAAATGTGAACATTTAAGCATTTTTGCAAAACGGGATTACTAAAATTTTAAACAATCGTTATAACTTTAACTTATATGCCGTCATCTTGTGCAAACATTCGGTTTTTCAAAAATATGTCTTTTTCTATATCCAACAATATAAATATTTGGCATCACATTTCCTCATACTAACCAAAGCCACTTAATTGTCTTTATGATATCTACGTTACAAATAAATTCAATGTAGAAACTAAATTTTATGCAAGGAAATGATCAAATATTGTCCCAACTTTCAACAGGAACTTATCCGCAAGCCACCAAAAGCCAAAAATGAAGATATTGGTAAATGATGATTGGTTTATTGGCCGCAGATATCAAACAATCGTAAATGACATAGTAACGCTAATATAACGCTAAGATAATACGTTTGTCGTGAGAATGTTATATAAAATTACGAACTATTGTTTTCTAGCAAAAGTTTGAACCCAGCTATGATAGAGACAAAATACAAGAGCATAATAAAAGTCTCCATAAACGTAACGTAAATATTCCAAATATACATAAGGTTATAAGTGAACTCGAATTTTATTACAAATATCTTTATAAACATTCATTATCTAAAATGGAAATGCCTGTCTGTCTTTTACTCAATATT